AACTGCAGTCAATACATCTCTTTAATTTTTAAAATGATTTGAAGAACTGTGCATTCAGCTTAGCCCTTGACGAATCGACAGATATCACGGATCTTCCGCAATTGGCAGTTTTCATAAATTTTGTTTCACCTGACTTCGTTGTTAAAGAAGAATTATTAGATTTAGTAGCACTTCAAGAGTCAATCCGTGGTGTCGATATTAAAAATGCATTAGATTTCGTAATGAAAACTTTTGATGTGCCTTTTAATAAACTTGAAAGCATTGCAACTGATGAAGCTTCTGCAATGCTGGGTAAAAAAATTGGTCTTATTGGGCTTTTAACAATTCATACCACATTCCACAATTCATGCCGATTCACTGCATAATTCACCGAGAACATCTCATTACAAAATATTTAAAAAATCTTGAAAACAGTGTTATACATTTTAAATTACATTCCCACCAATGCAAAAATCATCAACAATTCAGGAATTTTCTTGAAGAATTAAAGGATGAAGAACTTCTAAATTACATTAATTTCTTTTCCATTGTTAAATGGTTATTTAGCTACAATGCATTAAATCGATTTGTAGATTTGTTTGATCCAATAACTGCATTTCTAAAAGAAAAGGAAATAACCTATTCAGTATTACGTGATGACGAGTGGTGACAAGACATAGTGTTTTTGACCGATGTCATGGAACATTTGCAAACACTGAATTTAGAATTGCAGGGGAAAGATAGACCTCTCGCAGTGTATATTTAGTTTTTCAAACTAAATTACACCGTTTTCTAAAGGACATTAAAAATAAAACATTTTGTCATCTTCCTCGAATTAAAAGTAATTTGTTCCAATATTAAACAAGAAAAATTCAACGAGTATGTAAAAAAGCTAGAAGGAATATTGACGGAATTCCAAAATAGATTTCAAGACTTGAAATATTCTAAATCGTTCTCTTGATTTTTTCTGAATCCATTTGAAATTAACATAATTCAAGGTACTACACAAGGACCACAGGAATGCCAAATTATATATTGGTACTCTGAGGATTAAAAGGGGTTGCACTGTGTAGCCCACCAGATGCATGTTGCACAACAAGCTGATTGATAGGTGACATAGAACACCACTTTTTCAGTCTCTTTCTTATCAGCTGGCATAGAAGGCAGTTTGTCAAAAACAATGAACTATTATTCCAAAAGAGCCATGATCTTTATTTCCATGAATCATGACAAAATTGTGTTCACGTCATCTTGTATCAGCTATGATCGGCAAAAAAAAAAAAAAAAATCACTTTACCATTGACTTGTTTGGCATTACTGATAAAAATCAGAAATTTTCAAATGGATTCAGTATAACTATACATTTTGTGAAATCGAGTTTGGCATCTTGTGATTATAAGTAAAAGAAGAAAAAATTAATAATTTATTTATACTTTTGTATTTAAATGCATGATGTAAAATGCCATTTGTCATACCAGATGAAATATTAATATTCACTATCACTATCATCTATTCTTATTAATAAATTCATGCCATCAGACATTTGTACTGCTGCTATTAAAAAATTCATATGTTTTCATGACATGATATAATAGATCAGATTTCCAAAGATGTGCAAGTGCTGGATTTCACCCTGTGTCCTATGCTGATCAGTGTATCAAGTTCTACTACATTCTCAATTAATCTCAGGATACAAAACATTTGCAGCTCTGCCTGAGTGAAGATTAATACAAGGGGCAGTAGATACTTTCACTAATCTGTGGTGAGAAAAATATTACAAATTATTGGAAAACTGACTGCAAGAGTATAATGGTATCCAAATAATTATAATAGCAGAGGAAAATATCATGTAAATTTCTTTCTAAAAAAATATATATATATATATTATTTAGATACTTTTATATAATTCAGACAAAGTGAAATGAAGTAATACCACAAATATTCTTCATATGTAATAGAAATTAAAAGCTTTTTGCATTATTTTGCCCAGAAGCTTCAAATGTAGGCTTGATTTTTACTTAGGGACTTAAATCAATATTCTCTTAGTGCACTTGTTTAGTGTTTCACAATTCATAAAGGCTTTCAGTGTGGTACATGAACAATACTTCTTATTACATTCCTTTTCCAATTATCATAGCCTTCATTTTCCATTTTTGCTTTGTATTTCATCTATGCTTCTTACCTTCAGTAAGCATAGCATATTTGAATGTATTACATTTTGGAAATTTGAAAAGTAGCTCTCAACTTATTTTTCGTGTGATGTTTGATCCCAATAACAGACAAATTAAGCAACTCTATAATTTCTTGTTTTATGTATAAATAATTAAAATTTGCTTTAAATTTATTTCCGTATTCATTCTATCTGTGTTGGCCAGATTTACCCAAATGTTCAAACTTAGCTGAATGTGCACATATCAACTACATAAATCACAAATTATACACTCACGTTTGTGAAAATTGCAACACCATGAAGGACTTACGCGAGTGAGCTGAAATTTTCAGGAAATGCAAAGTAGCGCATGATATGCAAATGATTAGAATTGCAAATCCGTAGCGCATGCGTATGCTGAGCAGCGCCCTCTGAACGGCTGATGGATCCGAATAAATAGACGGCTGTAGCGAGGCGTGTATGGTTATCGGTGGTTATCTGCTAGTGGTAAACGTTAACTCAATCTGTACTTATGCCTCGTCGACGAAAGAGAGCGAGATTTGAACAACTTACAGAGTTTGAACGAGGGAGAATCATCGGCCTTCGTGAAGCTGGATTGTCGTATCGTGCAGTAGCCTCTCGTGTGCAGCGTAACAGCAGCACAGTGATGCGCGTTTGGAAGCAGTGGACGGACGAGTGTCGGACAACTCGGAAATCCGGGAGTGGACCCCGAAATGTGACGTCAGCTCGCGATGATAGACACCTGGTCCGCATGGCGCGGACGGACCGTACAGCTTCCTCTAGACAATTGGCAGCACTGTGGTCAATAGCTACAGGTGTTTCATTGTGTGCTTCATCAATTCGTAGACGTCTGCTGCAGTGTGGACTGCGCGCACGGACTCCTTTATACAGGATCCCCCTAACGCACGACCATCGCCGCCTGCGGCTACAATGGGCCAATCAGCATAGAGACTGGCGTGCTGATTGGCAGCATGTCGTGTTTTCTGACGAATCCCGCTTTAATTTGTGGTACCATGATGGCCGCATTCGTGTCAGACGCTATGCCGGTGAACGCCACCTTCCGGAGTGCATTATCGAACGCCACAGTGGACGAACACCCGGAGTTATGGTCTGGGGCGCCATAGCATATCATAGACGATCTCAATTGCTACGAATTGTGGGCAATCTGAACAGCAACCGGTATATCCGTGAAGTTCTACAGCCCGAAGCTGTTCCCTTCCTTCAAAGCTTGCCAGGCGCTGTATTTCAACAGGACAATGCCCGCCCTCATACTGCTCGGATTGTTAAATCCTTCTTTGCAGCGCAGCAGGTACAGCTTCTTCCTTGGCCTGCGTGTTCCCCGGATATGTCGCCAATTGAACATGTGTGGGATGTCATTGGTCGGCGTCTTGCTCGTGATCCTCGTCCTGTTGCGTCTGCAGACGAACTTTGGGTACGCGTACAAACGATATGGAATGCTCTTCCTCAGTCAGACATTCAAACTTTGTTTGACTCCATGCCACGTCGTGTAGCAGCACTTATTGCGGCGCGTGGTGACCACACAAAATACTGATTCTGATCTCTTGTTCTTGTTTGTTTGCTTTGAACATTTAATCATTTATTTGTACCACTACCACTCAACTGTGTATTAAATTGCATTCAATTATGACGATTCCTTCTTGGTGTTGCAATTTTCACAAACGTGAGTGTACTTACTTAATGTACTGTATCTTCAAGAAGATTTTTAAAATGTAAATGTAGTCTATATAAAATATAATTGTTTAAAATCTAAAATGAAACATAAAATAAAATTCAAAAATCTGAAGGAAAGTATAAACGTGGAAAAAAAAAAAAATTCTTTCATTCAAATTGGCAGATTTGTGAATTAAGTGAAAAATATTTTGTAATTATCATATTTTATGAAGCATCAGAACCTGTTGGATCGGATATCCATGAAGAAAATCTGAATAAAGATAAACATTTTCATATATACAGTCCACTTGAAAAGTTATAAACCTGTAAATAAATAAACATTTTTCTGCTTTGTCACACCAAGTGGAAATCTGAAAACATATATTTTTTAAAACAAAAATTCTCTTAAGATCTCATGTTGATTTCTAAAGACACAGATATTTCTGCTATATCTAGAAGTTTGTGTTAATGTCCCACAGACCCTTCTAGACTGAATGTGCATTATCGCATAGTCTGAAACAAATCGCAAAGTTTAAAGAATGTTAAAATAATCTTTTTAGGTCTTAAATGAACAGAAAGGCATGCCTGTGCAGCAGACAAATCTCAGGGTGGGGGTTTAAATTAACATAATGTTAATTTTAAATGTTGGTAACATAGTCTGCGACTGCAATGCAAAAAAACTATTTAAGCTGGCTGAAGACAATTATGGTGTATGTTTTAAACATTGGCTAGCAAGATGCTAAAGCCGTAAATAAAGTTAGGCTGAACTGTCTGTGGTAAATAATAGCAAGAAGAGGCTGTTTGAAGATCTAAGTATTGAAACCCTCAGCTTAAATGTACAAACCCCTAGTTTGCATTCTGGTGAGGACTACAGAAAGGAGAGGTCATAATAAAGATTTAAATCAGAATAATTTATTAATTAACATAAAATACCTTTATTTACACTCAAACACAGTTTAAGTAAACAAGCCACTTATCTGCATTTTGATGAGGACTACAGAAGGAGAAGTTATAGTAGAGGTTTAAATTATAATAATTGGTTAATTACCATGATATCTATTAACCATAATAATTGGTTAATTAGTATATAAAATACCTTTATATACACCCAAAGCAGCACATTTGAACATGATGTTTTTAAAATTTGTTCTTTTTTAGCGTACTGATACTTTTTTTCTAGGTAACGAAACGGCCTTTGACAGCTGGTACCTTGTTTAAAAACTCTATGATTGCACTTGTAAAGAATTTGGGGACAAAAGTATGTATGAGAATATTAAAATTTCTAAGACAAAATGTAGAAAAAATTAATATTGTATTGTAATTTAAATTCATTATCGCTAATTTTGAGTAATTTATGTAATGAATTATTTAGCTAATATTTCACGTCATAACTGTATTATCCAGGAACCATATTATGTCCGCTGTATAAAACCAAATGATCAGAAATCTGCTGTTTTTTTTGATGACACCATGGTCGAGCATCAAGTATCTTATCTTGGTCTGTTGGAAAATGTTCGAGTGAGACGTGCCGGCTTTGCATACAGGCAAACTTATAATCGTTTCTTGCGCAGGTGAGTGTTCTGTCTTGCATCATTATATGTAAAAAATATGTATAATATTACTTTTTGTGTATGTTAGTTAAATATAATAATATATATTTATAAAACTATTTTCATTTAAATTAAGTCCTCCCTTTTTCATGTAATTTCAAATATTAGCTTTTTCCTTTAGTTTTGTTTTTCTCTTATTTAAGCAGTATTTGGATTTATGGTATATATTTCTTATATGTATAGGAACTGTTGAAATTTATTTCTTATTTAGGCCTATGAATGATTGAGTTGAACGAGTCTCCTAAAATGTGGTTATTCCAGTTTGTTTTGTTAGTGGCTGAATAGTCTGGCTACATTAGTGTTTAACATAATGTGAATAAAATCTAATTTCTCTTGGTATATAGCTGAAAAATTTTTCCGTGGCATTGTTGCTTGTATGTATAGCTCAGAGCTTTGCAATAGCAAATAGCTTAATTTTCTAATTTATATTAAATAAAGGGAAATGTTTTTTAATGCAGTTACTTAGAGGCTACATTTTGTGTCATGTCTGTAAAAATTATCATTCAACCTTTTTTTTTTCTCCTATTACTGGCTGTACACATACGCTTCCATTTATAAACATGTTTTAAAATATGAAAGTATTCACGTTTTTCACATTTTTACTTCCTTGTACAAAGTAAAAAGGAAGTATTGTAATCGCGAAAAGTTTCAGGCAGCATATTTAAATGAAAATATCCATTTTGACCGCTTTCGAATGCAACTTAACGATGTTTTTGAGTGATATCTGTATGTAAGAACAGGATAAAGGACTGTTTTCCTCCAAAAAAAATTATAAAACTGCTTTAAAATGAATTCTGAAGATAATTTTTCGTGCCATCAGTACGAACATATGTACGTACGTATCTCGCATAACTCAAAAACGAGTAGCCTCAGAACGTTGAAATTTTGTATATAGGACTAGTATAACGTGTAGATGTGCACCTCGTATTTTGGTTGCAATCGGCTGCGCCAAACGTATATAAATATATTTATATATATATATATCCACTCTGTTATCCGGCTCAGCGATCTCAGTTTCTTTACTCTTATATGTTTGTAAATTGTATATTTTTTGCTTTAAAAATGATTGAATTATATTGTTCTTCTTATCTTCCGGTTAAGGTTTTTATGCCTTTAGTAAATCTGTATGCAATATTTTTAGAATTATCAATAATTTTAAAGTTATTTTAAGTGCCGCTAAGCCTAATAATTTTTTTGATGGTGGCCATTGCTTGTTTACATTTGAAACAGCAGAGTAGTGGATTTGTTGCCAATCTAGAGAAACGTAGCTTCGTGACAACAAAGATAACGCCTTCATTTATTATTGTGAATTAAATAATGCTTAATCTTTTCTGGAAATTTTTCGAGGAAAAAGTGTTTAAGAGTTACTTCGTCATTTTTAATACAGATATTTTGAGTTTTTATGTATTTTTGCCTTGTCGCGAAGTGAGAACTGAATTAATTGAATGTGAAATACTCAATCGTCTTTGAAAAACTGTTTCTTTTTTTGTTTTGTTTTGTTTGCTTAATTTCTTTTATAGATTGTTCTAGCTTTATTATAGTATTTGAATAGAGCATGTGGCAACGATTAGATAATTCTTTAAATGATATCAATTTTGTGCATTCTGAGTTATAATATGAACGAAATATACTGTTAAGTAAACCTAGCGCCAGAGTGTCGCTATGGTAAACAAATAGAGTGAATTTTAAAGAATGCATTTATTCTATTGTGGTTTATGCACTGTCGCAAAGTAGATTTAATTCAATCCAATAAGTTTAAATGAAATGCAAGAAAAAATGCGTATAATTTAATACTCCATACAAGGAAGTCGTGGTGTACACGTCAGATTTTTTAATTTAAAAAATCAAATATATGAAGTTAGAAAATTTAATTTTTTTTATAAAGATTCATCTTCCTTTGTTTATTCCTCGTTATTTTTTTAAAGTTTTACTATTGTGCAACAAAAATTGACCAAAATATTTCATTTTAATATTTGAAATATAGTTTGAAGGCCATACACAAGTTGAAGAGCAAAATGTTTGCATATATACAAAATTAAAAATGAAGATCAATTTAGTAAAGCTCTGATGTTTATAATAAAGTGATAATTATTACAATGCAGACTTTTGTGAAAAGTATTGGTAGTTTAAAAAAAAAAAAAAAGGAGACCTTATTCACAGAATTTTATATGAATATTATAGAATTTGTGCTCTAGAATACAGTGGCAGGCTTCAGAATTAGTGCATAGACAAGGTATGATATTATTTACATGAATTAAAATGAAAAGTGCTGCTAGTTTAAGGAATTTTTGGTTTATTTATTAGCTTGATTCTCGAATAATAAAAATGCATGCGAATGTAAACATATTTTTAGTTTCTGAAGATTTATAATTTGCTTGTTTGAATTTACTATCAACTATTGTAGGAAGACAATATTCAGCATACCATATGTAACAGAATAATAAAGGAGGTTTTCACTCTAGTAAATTACAAAAGAAATCATTGAATGACATAAAAGAGGGGAAAAAAATGTTCCTCAGTTTATTGTAATTTATTCTTTAACCGACCCATCAAGGTAAGCCAGAAATAATGTCAGAACTACCAAATTTTTAAGTTAAATACCATGGCCAATTTATTTTGTACTGAAGTCCAATGTTTTTATGCTTTATATTTTCTGATAAACTCTTACTAAATGTCATGAATTCGAAAAGTATGTAAAAGCTTAAATTTCTTAATTTGAAAAAAAAAAAAAATTTTTAAATGCCAAAGCATGAATATTTGCATCATTTAAAACATTTTTATAAGTGGATGTTTATGACTGTGACCAAGGTTTGCAAAAATAAAAGCTGCTTAAGGACTTTTGTGGACTGTGTATGTATGTGTGACCTGGGATATTAAGCAATGAATATAATATGCACTTACTTAATATTATAAAATTGGTGGTATTTCCTGTTCATGTCTCATTTTGTATCTGCTTTCTGATAACCTTTTATTTACTACACTACCATGATTTGAAAATCCTGTTTCATTTATAGAATGAAACAGAATTTATTGAAGTACTTAATTCCTTTTATTATCATTATTAATTTGTATGAGAACTAAAACAAAATGCATTCAGATATGATATTAGGGTTTTTTTACATTTAAATATTCAGTTAATTTTAATGAGAGTTACATTTATCTTTAACTGATATTTTAAAGGTAATGCATTTTAAAGCAAAAAAATTGGCATCAGTTTAAATTTAATTTTATGGAGCTAAAATTCATAATTTCTTCTTTATATGCATGTAAAGAGATTTGTGCTAATGATAAGGATTTGCTTTATTTTTATAATGTCATTTATGTAGTATATGTGATGTCTACCATAATAAAAATTAGTAATATTTTGATTGAATAAAAATATTTTTTTTATCTTCTTGATTTAAAAAAAAATTAGGTATAAAATGATCTCAAAGTACACTTGGCCAAATTTCCGAGGAGGATCAGAAAAAGATGGCTGTAGGGTGCTAATAGATGAACAAGGATTTTCTGATGATGTTAAATATGGTGCAACAAAAATATTTATTCAGTCTCCTCAGACCATTTCACAGTTAGAATATGCAAGACTTGAACTAATCCCTGGCATTGTTGTCTTCTTACAAAAAGTAAGTTATGGCCTTCATATTTTCAATTCCAAACTGAGGTATGTATGTTTATGAGTTTAGCCTTTGCAACATTAGGGCACTGTGTAAAGCCTTTTGAATCTAGAGGGTTAAGTGCGAAGGAAAGAAGAATGAGAGTGTAAGTCAGAATGGACTTTAAACAGGTAACCTCCTCTTTCTATATATAAATTAAGTAATTCTATTAAATCCATTTCTTCTGTCAGCTGTATAGTGTAGTTATAATCATCATTGGTTTTGTGCCGTAATACAACTTAACAAACAAAAGAAAACTATTTTAAAATTTTTATCATAGGTCCATTTTACACATTCATCATGTACAACAAAGGTATACCACTTAATTATTTCTTATTTTTAAATACAGCCATGCTCTTACATTTTTGGGTAATATGTTGTGATACATACACATTTGTCTCAAATAGCTGATAAAACTGAATGCCGTGTTATTGTATTTATGTAACATATATAAATGCAGTGAAATTTAATAAATTACACACAGTGAGATAGCAGCAACCAGAGCTGTGCCATGATATTTTTTGAGCTGAGGCAAAAAGGTAAATGTGCACCCTTTTATATATATGTATATATAAAAGGTAAATGTGTACCCTTTTATATATATATATATATATATATATCAAAATAGCTATATGTGTATTAAACAAAAGTAAATGTATTAAATCAAAATATCATAATTATACCATAATTCTTAAAGTATTTTTTAATCATAACTTTATAAATTCAGAAAAATAATATAGCCAATTATAATATAGCCAATTATTTATAACTTTCAAATGAAAATGTTAAAAAATTTTTTTTTGATAAATAAGAAATGACATCGAAATGCACATTGCATTAATTTCCAGGTTTTCTTGCAATTCTTCCTATTGTTTTATTAAGTTTGCTGAAGCTTATTTCCACTAATAATAACTGACAAATTAAAAAAGAAAAAGTAGTTTTCAAATTCGTATGACCAATTTGGCGCCCTTTCTAGTGATTCACCTGAGGCAAGTCCATCACTTGCCTCACCCTTGTCCCCGTTCTGACAGCAGCATTAAATAAAGTAATAATTGTCTGCATATTGCATAGTGTTATGTATGTATGTATATATATATATGTACAGCATATTTTCGCTCTCTTGTGCATGTAAAAGTAAGGGATTTTGATGTTTTTAATGTAGCTTTAGGAAAAGATGCAGAAATGTAAATATACTTCAGTACTACATACGATACAAAATGATATTTAAAGAATTTAACTCAAGATGCTAGATAGATCTTGTAGACATGCAAAGTAGCCCAGACGGTGAGTACAAGTTTGTACTCAATTATCAGGATCATTTAACCAAGTTGGTGTTATTGCATGCTCTCAAACCAAAGAAGAAATTGCTTTCCAGCCACTTGATATCTTCACCTTTATAGGGGCTCCAAGCTTGCTTTAATCACATAATGAGAATGAATTTGTGAACCAAAATCTAAATGAACTAAAGAGCATGTGGCCTGAACTGAAACTGCTACATGGAAACCTGAGGCATAGCCAAATCCAAGGTTTCGTCGAACATGCAAACCAGGACATTCAGAATCTGATGATGACATGGATGCAGATATACAACAAATCAGCACATTGGACTGAGAGCCTCCAATTTGTTAAATTCATGACAAAACGTTCTTTTCACCAAGGAGTACGGTAGTCACCATACGAGGCCGTATTTGGCTGCAAAGCAAAAATGAGCCTAATTACCTTATCTGCCCAGAGAGGTTGTCAGTATGTTAGTTACAGAGAAAGACCTTGAAAAGGTTGAACAAGAAATGGAGGATAGTATAAATGCAGGGAGTACCTCCAGATATGACAAAGCTGCTGCTGCTGCTGCTGTGGTGGTGGAAGCATAAGAAAGTTCAGACTAGTTGCCTGATAATTATGCAAAAAAAATCTGTGTAGTGTGTGAAAAAGAGTACAGCTCAGACCATTCTTGTGGATCCTGCGGCAGTGATGTCCATGCAATTTGTGGAATAAGCAGTGAAAGAGACGAAGGGTATGGAGCAGAAATTACATGCAGGTTATGTTATAATAAACAAATCAGGAAGCTGATGTTAGTTTGGTCAGCAGCTGATGTTAGTTCGTAGGGCCAAGCTGCGAAGATGCTTAAAAATTCAGAAGCAAAATTCCCACCATTGAAAGTTGGAGATAATGTGCGCATCCATATACGAGATGTTGAAAGAAGTCGAGGTGATCCAAGAAGTGTTCTTGCATTTGTCTTGAAAGTTGAAGGCGGCTTTTACAAGTTAGGAACAGAACATGGGATTCTAAAAAGAACTATTCTAGAAGTGAATTTTTCATTGTGCATGAGAAACTGCTTCTACTGGAATCTGTGGTTACATAAGAAAAATCACTACGAACCATCACGTCTACTTAATTACTGACCGATGGGCTTGCACTAACTCAATGTAATTGCAGTACTATGTGTGCACCAAATCACTGTGAATGCATAAAGAACCAACTGTTGTGTTATTCGAAATGCCATAAAAGTTCATCTTGTTGTAATTAGTGATGAAAGCCATAGGTACTTTATAAGCTTAACACTATCATAATTGATTTTCATCATTTGTAATTAATAAAATGTAAAGCAATCTGCTGTTGACTTTTTTTCCTTCCAAGTTTCGCTGATTGTTCCCATTCTGAGTTTGCCGTTTCGTGGACTGGCTAGCCGAGTTCCGAAGTCAAGAAAAGACTGGATATTGGCCAGTAAGTTTACAGCAAATTTGGCCATTTCCCGATTTGGTCAGACACTTCCCATTTCGGTCGTAAAATATGTAAGGTCTACTAGAAAATGATGTCCGATAATGTCATTTCAAGTTTCATCATGCATGCAGGTGTTCATTTGAGACATATAGGGCTGTCTCTGTATCACTAAATTTATGAACATCTATTCTTCTAAATAAACTAACAAAAGTGCCTCATGTCATTATTAAGTGAGACATCATGTAAACATGGCTAACGATAAAAGTTATTTAGGATACTGTATTTTGTACCAACAAGGAAGAAATGCTACAGAAGAATGTAGAAATTTAGTGGCTGTTTTTGGTGGAGATGCAATTTTGGATAGAACATGCTGAACAATATAGTTAAAAAAATCTAAAGCAGGTGATTTCAATTTTAATGATAAGTCATGCTGTGGGCTGTCATTTTTAATTAATGACGATATTATCAAGACCATGATAGAGCAAGATCCCTTTTATAACATCGTAGATTGTGGAAAAACTTTATTCGGCTTAACAAATAATTTTGGATCATATCCAGAAACTAGAATTAGTTTATAAATATTCCAGATAGGTGTCTCCTGAGTTATCTAAGAAAAGTTTGCATGATTGGGCCATCATATGCTTATGTCTGCTTGATCAGAACAAAACCTAAATCTGTTTGGACTGGATGTTAACTGGGAATGAAAAGTTGATTACCTATGAAAATATCGTTAAGAAAAGAGCATACTGTGAGCCTGCAAAACCTGTTCCTTTTCACCTCAAAACCAAGTTTGAACGTGAATAAAAGAATGCTGGTACGTCCAAGCACCAATACATTACGACCTTTTGAAGCCTGAAAAAAAGCTCAATTAAGAGGGATACTGTCAGCAAATGGACTATTTAAACAAAGCAGTCAAAGTAAAGAGGCCAGTGATGTTCCGTAGGAAGCACATCATAGTGCATCATGATAATGCTTGACCAAATGCTTTTTTGATGATTCAGAACTATGCTAGGAAATTCTGCTGCATCCACCCTACTCTTCAGACATAGCATCCTTTGATTATCACTCCTTGCAAAATTATTTGAAGGGGGGGATTCAGAACTGAAGCAGATGTCAGCTAAGCTCTATCTCAGTTCTTCATCCCTAAGGACAAGACAGTTTTCAAATTACTGTCATGCTGTCAAGAAGTCAAAAGTAACGACAGAAATTATATTGTAGAATAAATATAATTGAAGGGAAGGAAAATATTATCTTCTTTCACTTCCCAAACGGAAAGAATTTTCTGCTAGAATTTATAAAATAAAAGATAAGTTAAAACTATAAAATTATTTAAGTTTGATAATGGCTTTTATCATGCTATATAAAAATATATTCTTAAATAATAATCTGAAATTTTTTATTGGTTCTTTGAGACGTAAATTGTAAAAAAATTAATGCAATTAAATTAAGAATAAACTATAATCAAAGAGCTAGTAGAATTTTATTGTAAACATTACTAACTGCACCAAGTGTTAGATTCTGTCTTCAGTTATTTGATGAAGAGGTAGACTAATAAGTTACATAAAACAGGTTGTGACTACTTGAATACTTATTGGGTTTTGATGAAAGTTTCCTGCCATCATAAATATCATCTGCCCAAACAGTTCACTATGGCATGTTTAATAATATTTTGTCAAATCATTTTTGGCAATTGAAAGAAAGAGACTTGCTTTAGAACACTGTGTTGTGAAATTTATAAAAAAATATCGTTAAGTACAAGGTGTCTGAAATGGAACACTACCAGATTAGAACTATCATTTGCTTCCAGTTCTGTTGCAACAAATCAGTTACAGAATGTCACCAAATCATGTGTCAGCTTTAGGTACTAATGTTGTATCATATGACACTATGAAGGTTTGGTACCAAAAGTTCAAAAACAAGGACTATGCCCTTCAAGAAACAGAGTACTCTGACTGGCCTACTGATATTGATGAGACCTGCCTGTGAAAACTCATGGAAGAAGATCAGCATGCAACCATTGAGAACTTGTTAAGGAATTAAATGTTAGTGCCATGTCCATTAGTCACACTATGCATCGCATAAACTTGACGTTTAAGTTCAATAGCTGGGTCCTGCATGAGTTGACTCAAGCAGATAAGAGCAAATATGTTCGGGCGGACACTAATCTGCTCGAATGTCAATGCAAGGACAAAATTCTGGACCAGATCATCACTTGTGATGAAAATTAGATTTACTTAAAAACACAAGTTGAAAAGGATGTTGATCTGTGCCCATTGAGCCCGTTGGCAGTGTCGCAAAGTGCAATTTGACTATCAGAAAGATCATGCTTTGTATCTGGCGGGATTGCCATGGTATTGTCCACAAAGAGTATCCGAAAAAGTTAAACCCTCGACTGTAAAGTGTACAGTGAGGTGCTAGTCTGTGTTGATTTTCCTTGATTACTATCAAGGAAAAATGTCAAACTGAGTTTCGGCATAAAAAGGTAATGTCCCATCAAGATAATGCAAGACCACTTGTGTCTGCATTCACCAGCTGGACTCTGTACAGACTCAAATGAGATCTTTCGCCACATCCACCATATAGCCCGCACATTGCTCGTTCGGACTTTTACCTACTTCCACACCTGTAGCTACATCTTGCTGTTGTTGTCATCCATTCTACATAGAAGGTTCAAAATGAGTTTGATCTGTTTTTGGACTCGCGGCCACCAAGTTTCTGGGTCGAATGCTTTGAAAAACATACCAAAATGTTGGCAGAAAATTATGGATTTGGGTGGTGATTAGCACTATCAGCGCTAATGGTACTGCTTTCATGTTTTTTTTTTCCAACTTTATTAAGAACCTTTTTTGGGTAGAAAACTTTCATAACAACCAGAATATATGTATAATAATTCCGGGAAGCATAGAAGAGGAATCAGCTTTCAGTCTTGTGGCCAAGGGTAAGTAAGTGCTTACAGATGAAGACAACAAAACATGAACTTGATGAATTTCCAGTCTTTATTTCCACGCATATAAAATCATCTCCATAGATGTTGATCCAATCATGATGAAATCCGAGACATTTCTATGATTCAATCATAATGAAATACGATAAATTGCAATGCACATTGATTCTTGAAATTAAGGTGCAGGCACTTCCAACAGGAAAGCAAAGCGAGGAGTTATTAGCAAGGTAGAAGCTAGCAGAAGTTTCAGAATTAAGGTGTAGTTAGCTCACTGGAGGTTTTTATACCAGAGTAGGCACAATTCTAGAAACAAGCTATGATTGGTTAATATAAGTTTTGGTTGTCCTTTTCAAGCAGTGTTACATAACGTAGAAAAATCTCAAACTTGGGAAAACAGGTGAATTTAGGGGAAGAGCACCAAATTTAGAATGTTAATTTTGAGGTTGCCAGTTATTTTACAAACATATTTTTACAGTTATTTTACAAACAAAGTACGATGGCTGCCTTGTTGTATCTTACATATATATATATATATATAATTTAATTATGAATGTTCTATTTATGATTACCTCCTAGGAAAGTTAATTTAAAACAATTGCAAATTGAAATTAGGAAATGTAAATACCTAAGAGAACTGCTAAAACTATTAAAAACTTGCAATAAACTTGAAAGGAGATTGAAATTTATATATACTGTGTGTATATATGTGTATAGATATTATATTAATTTTTTTGCTGTAAAAAAACAGGCTCTAGCATCTTATTTTTAGGCTGTCTTATTTTTCATGCATAATAATTAACATTTGTTCATATTCAAGAAACGTATTTCTTCAGGTTCATGAAATACATTTATTCTTGTTCAAGCAACATTAAAAAATGAACAAAAGCATTTAATACAGCCATGTTTTCTTCTGGAGCATCATCATTAAGCTCCAAGTCACAAATTCTGGCCTGGATTTTTTGTGACTTTAATTTCCTGAAGGTTATTGGCCCTATCCTCTCTATTGCTCATGTTGTGCAATAGAGCTCTCCTCAAATAAGCTGTTCTTGTCCATGTAGCCTGCACTTAGGACATTGGCAATACAATTGCCCAGTATTTTATCGCATGTGTTCTGTACTCAAGTAACGACTTCTTGTAGCTTCATAAAGTTTCCTTGTTGCTTTCTCCCCTTTATATTATATCTTCAGTGTAGTCATACATCCAACTTCTATCTGCAGACTATTAGTTTATTTTATTTGCAACTTCTATTAGTTTTTATTTTATGCCTGGAACCTTTTAGTATTCCTTTGTTGTACTCAGTGGAATATCTTTTTCTTTTTGCACTCATTTTATCTGAGTATCAAAATTTATTAAAAAATCAAGTGCCAAATCAAGTCCATTGCTATCGCTATGTATTGAATATGGAAGATTTGAATTTGTCGCAACCACATCCATGGTTGCGACAAATACAAATCTTCCATATTCAATACATAGCGAGTGACTTAGAACACTTTATTCTAAGTGTGCATGTGTTTTACTTCTGCACTTCATCATTCGCTGCCAGTAAGGCACCCATCTGGCTGATGATCTTAACTAGGTCTTATTTTAGGGAAGAGACCCTGAAAAATCATATTAGGGCTTGTTTCTCTTATTTTCGAGGAAACATGATATATATACGTTACTGTGAAAGACCAAAATTGGAGAATGTCGAATTTCACCGGAGAATGTCAACATTCACCAAATACATCGGTGAAAGATCGAATATTTCTTTACATTCTTGTACATTCGGATCCTCACCGGTGTATGTCGACAATCACAGATATGCTCTGGTGTAGGTCGAAAAGAGAGGAGTATATGTACACACTGCTATTCCAAAAGGAAGTGTTCCACAAATAAATGCAGTTGTAAAAGCAAGAGCCTCTTGTGCAATTCAAAGTGTCATAATAGTTTTAAGTTGTTGCAATAAATAAGATTTGAATCACATAATTTAAAACTTCTATTATTTTCCTTTCTCATTTTGATTGTACTGTGTGTTTCAAGTTCTTTTGTTCTTAAGTTCTTATTCTGAGTCTCAAGTGCGTTTTTTCGCGAATGAATTACGGAGAAGGAAATATAATATTCTTATATGTTAACAACATTCACCATTAGTACATGGTGAATGTCGACATTCACCGGTTAAGTCAGAAATAAGAGTATTTGGAAAATATTTCGGACATACACCAAGCGACTATGTGAATGTTGACATTCTCCAGATTTCGGTCTTTCTCCGTAACATATACACTAATGTGGGTTATATTTTAATACTTCATCATAGAATCAATATTTAATTTGAAAACATTTGTTTAATATATCTCAGATTCTTATCAAAACACTCAGTGTTTTAAGTTTCGTTATTTGTTTTAGTTCTTTAAAAAAAGTAAATGCATATGCTTAATTTTGAAGAATAGATTTTGAATTATTTCACTTATCACATTTTAATCATCATATTCATTATTTTTTAATGCAGTATTTATGTTAATACTCATTGTAGAAATATTAATATTTAAAAGGTGCTCTGACTTTTATAAATTTATTAATAATATAATTAAAAGATACAGTACTATTATGTGGCAATAATTGGAATAGTTATATTCTGTCTTATTAATCTCAGTCCTGTAAAATTAAAATTTATTTCAACTTTGTTTCTACAAAAACTGTTAAGTCATAGCACTGTTCCATATATCTATGCAGTATCAATATGCATATTTTAAATTTCTTATTTTCTAATAAACTTAGAATTATAAATATCAGTAAAATCCTTTGATTACATTGCTTTCATTTTGAATATAAGTGTATAGGTATTGAAATTTTGAAGTGTGCATTAGTATAAAACAGACTGTGGAAATATTGACTCTGTTTTTTTAATATTTATGATAGTTTTCATATCTGTACTCCTATTAGTATTTGTACTTGTATTCGAACAGTATTGATGTTTCCCCATGTAGTTTGGAATTTAAAAAAAAAAAAAAAAAAAAAATGTGTATTCATAGGATACAAATGTAATATATTGCGTTTGCTTGTTTTAGATGTGGAGAGGTGCTATTGCCAGGTTAAGGTACAAAAAGATGCTTGCTGCTTTGGCCATAATACGGTTTTATCGACAGCAAAAACTAAGGCAGTATATTGAAAGTGTGCAGTATGCTTTCAGGTATTTTGATTTTAAGTAGTATGAATCCTTTCTCCCTTTTCTCAAATTTATGTTAACAAAAGTTCCTATCTGACATTATAGATTATTTTATTTGCAGAAAATAATTTTTGATGTTTTCTAAGTATGCTTAAATAACAAAATATTATATATGTAAATAGTAACAAATAATTAAATGTAGAAAGGTCTATTAAGAATCCTGTACCAAGGCTGCAATGATTTAATTAAACATAATTAAAGAGAAATACTCTTATTAAAGTTCTATTTAAAATTAAATTAAGAGAATTTGAAGTTTAAATTTCAGTTTAACAAATTCATTATTTTTAAACCTTATTTAAATGCAAAAATACTTTTAGAACAAAATATAAGTATCAAATCAATGAGCATAACATGTAAAAATGTGAAAATAAAACATTATAATGTAAATAAAAGTATATGTAATATATCAAAAATTCAATGAAATGTAACATTAAATTTAAAATTAATTAGGCCAGAATAATTTAACAAACCCAAAACTTACTCTGTACATTGTAATAGTATATCAAGAACGTTGTATTATTCTTCATCCCAAGGGCAGGTATTTTGTTGTTGCCAGGTTTAATTAGAAGAACATAAATTAGGTTGGTGAAATTTGTAATTATGACATGGTAGAAAGTTTGATTAACTATTAAACTGAATAAGTATTTCCCTTTAATTATATATGCATTTTATTTTTCATTTTTTAAAGTATATTAAATCATTACTTTCATTTTCTCTCTATAAAACTTAAATCTTTGAACTACTAAACTGTAATAATTGTAATAAAAACTGTACCCTAAATACACTATTTTCATGTTCTTGGTCTTGGAACTTTAGAAGAATGTTTTGCTTTTAACTTTTTGGGAGAATGGTGACTCAAAACAGCTGTACTCACAATAAATTAATCAGTAGTCATATTCTTGTATGATTTTAAATAAAAAAGCTAGTTTTATTCATGCAAAAATGTGACATTAAGTTAAAGATGAAAATTTTATTTTTTATTCAAGCATGAAGATTATATATTTAAATATGAATATTAGTTCTGTATGTGCAGACATAGATATAAACAGTCTTGAGAAAATTCTTTTATAATTTTTATCATTAATATAAATAATTAGAACTGTGTGGGAAGTTATGCATTTGCTTAAGGTGATATGTAAATTAATAATAATTGTTAAGGTCAAACAATAATATGTTATTCAGTATGTTAAACAGGTTTCTCTATAACTGGTGATCGTCAATAGAAAATGCAGAGACAATAATTGTAGAAGTGTGTATGTGGTGTAGGGGAAGGATTCTAATGTGATATCTTAGCCAGAGCAGCCTGCGATGAAGTGACAATATTGATACTGAAGATTTTCATTGGACTAGCTAGTAATAGGTACAGTTTCAAACAATTGAATTTTTGTTCAAAACTAAGAAAATAAATATATTTCTTTAAATTTCCTCAAAAGGAGACAGAATTTAATGAAATCTGGTATAAATGCAGGGTAATATTAGACAGTAACCATATTAGCAGTAATATCAGGCATCAGTAATATTAGTTGTGTACCATACAAGAATTAAAAGTATTCACCCATGCTTATACAAGCAGAAACGTCTAGAATTGTTGTAGCAAGATAACATCTAAAATAAGGCTAGAGAGGCAATAGTCATTTGTAAGAGATATCCAGGTCACTCAGTAAAACTGCTTGTTAATAAATCAGTTGATGAGTGCCTGTGGGAAGACACACCATTTTTATGTCAAAGCTGTTTTTACCTACTGAATGGTTCTTGGAAGCATTGTCATGGAGAAACACACGTTACACCCAACAACAAATGAAATGCGTGGGGGGAGCACTGACTTTTCTGCAGTGGTACCACGATGAAGGCGATGAGTACCGCAAAAGGATCATTATGTGTGATGAGACATGAGAATCACTTCACCCCAGAAACCAAACAGTCGATGCATTGGCACAGTCCATGCTGAACTAAATTTATGCAGACTGTATCTGCAAGCAAATTGATGTGCACAGTCTTCTGGGACAGGAAAGGCATTCTGCACGTTGACTTCTTGCCTTGAGATATTACAGTGAATGCTGAAAGTTCGTGCACAACACTAGAGAACTTATGACGAGCCATTCAGAAAGAGTCTCATCACGTCTGCTTCATACATAAAACACAATTGACAATAGATTTCAATTGGCGCTACATTCTGTGGGTTCAAAAACCTTATCATGGACCTCACCTCACAGATGACAGGAGAAGAAATGAGTCTTTGCACACTATAATGGTATTAATGTAAGTGATCAGGAAATTACAACTACTGCATACAATAGCCTCACCCACTAACAACCTGGTTGTGCCTTTGCGTTTTGGTCCTTTTGCAGCTCATCTTTTGGCAATATGGAAAACTTAACTTTCTGGATGATCCTCATCACAACTTGTTTGATTGTTAAAACATTTTTATCTTTAACAAGAAAAATTCCTCACAAATACATTTGTGCTTAAATTGGTACCACACTAGGGTGCTAAATGTGTCTCACTATTTTTACATGTATTAAGTGTACATTTTAAACAATAGAGAAAGAAGGCAAAACAAGAGATGTAGTTTATCAAGCAGTAACAGGCAAGGAAAAGTGATGTATACTAAGTGCGATCATATTTATAAGACGGAAGTTTTTTTGCTTCAATCCTGAGCAGGGTCTAGGCTAAAGGTTTCGCAATGCAGAGAAATTTTGGGGAAAAAAGCATTCAACCTTGCATGCTGCAGAGCGACAAAAAATGGTGCAGAACATATTGTTGAAGCAGGGATGTGTCTAATTAAAATTTATGAATAAAAATCCATTGCCAGTTGGTTCCAATTAAGTTTAATAATTTTGTTTAATCTTTAATATTATATGTACTGCTTATATATTTTTTGTATAAGTAATCATAATCTCAGAACTGGGCTTAACACATTGACTGCCATGGCACTTTTCGGATTCCGGTCCGAGAACCCAAATCAATTTAATCATATTAATTTATTAAAAACACAAATTATGATTTTTAACAATCATTAAAAAGTTTACAGGATTTTTTGGGGGGTAGAAAAAAGGGTCCTACGAATTATCTCGTAGTCGGCTTTTGTTAGACAAAGCTTTTCGCAGAAGCCCACTACGAGTTGATTCATACAGACATGCTTCGACTTGTCGCCTCAGTACAGCTAAAATAAGCGACTAAGTAACTTGTAGTGGCGCTAAAGTGGCAAGTCAAGAAACTATGAGATAACTCATATTGGGTGTCCTGAAGAAGAGCACTAATACGAGTTATCTCGTGTTGGGCAGTCAACATGTTAAAATGTTTGAAAAATATGTTGATATACGATTTTTAGTATTAATGAATTTTAAGGAGATTGAGAGCAAACAGTTTGGTTATTACATTTAAAAAAAATTAATATACTAAAATGCAAAATTATTGCTGAATAAAATGAGATTTGAAATATTAAAAGTTTAGAAGGTTGAATGATTTTTTTTTCATGCGTTCTTAAACCTCTCAAATAGTAATTGGAATGTCCTTAAATTTTCTTTTATGAAAAATATTGAAATAGTATATTTATGGAATATGGCATGAATTTGTAATCTATATTCTTGGAGAGATGGAAAGAAAGAATGCACATAATCCTTGAAATAGAATAGAGAGATAAATAGCATCAGTGCAGTTCCATTATTGTGTGGTGATGGCGATAAGGAGCGCGCCTTGCGCCCTCCGATAAGTGTGGCAACCCTAGAGGAGAAGTTTCTTACGAGTAGCGAGCAGAGCGAAACAGGCAGGCTGTCGGGCAGTGTGCGCGAAGTTCCTAAATAAAGCTTAATTTTTATTGTGCACTATGTCTTGTTAATATTTATATTAATGCAGTAAGAACATAATCTGTGATATGGAATTCGAGGATTGGTGGTAAAACATAACAGGAAATCACTTATAATGGTAACCCGGACTGTGTTAAATCGTATGAACAGTTCTCAAGCACTTTCGGTTTTGACTACAAGCCATCACTCAAGATCTCCAAACCAGAAGTAATGGATTACATCGGTTTTCATCCTCCGGATCACAGATGAGTAGTAATTATAGATCATTTTATAATTACGTTTTCTACTTATCATTTAATTTCATTTTCTTTAGTTAAATTTTTGCTTTTATTTTGGCTTAAAAACCTTGCACAATGTCTAATGTTCATGCCATCCAAATGCCAGTTTATAACTGATCAGACCCATCTTTACGGTTTATTATGTGTGAAAGTACCTTTGTTCTTGCCACCCCCAAACCTATCACAGAATCCATTACTAAATATAATTATGTAGTTCCTCATGTTCCTCCAGATATTGCATCACTAGTGAGGGATTTACTTATGAAACCAGACCTTATTGATCCATATACAAAGCTCAAAACTGAGTTAATAAATCGATCAGGAGAATCTTCTCAGCAAGAAATTCGCCAATTATTATCTGGAGAGGAATTAGGTTCTCGAAAACCTTCCGATTTGCTTAGAAATATGAAACGTCGAGCAGAATCTTTAAATGTTCCTGATAACTTAATGTTAGAATTATTCCTTCAACGTTTGCCTTCGACTGTTCAGTCTATTTTTGGCAGCGGTTTCCAATTTAACTGTAGATAAAGCTGCAGAAATTGCCGACAGAATTTTAGAAGTAAATCCAACCCCAGGGACTTGTGCCGTTTCTCGCACAGTCGATCAGTCTCTTGAGGATAAATTATTTAAACAAATAGAAAAATTAAACAAACGTATTGATCGCATTTCTCTTTCTCGTGGTCGCTCGCCAAATCGCGGAGATCGCAATAAGGAAAGAAGCAATTCCAAAAGGAGAGATTATTCTGTTTGCTGGTATCATAGACGTTTTGGGAAAAAGTGTAGAGATGACAAATGTACAAAACCTTGTTCATGGCAGGGAAACGAAACCAGCAAAGAATAGAGGCGACTTATTCTTTGCCTCAAGTTTCACGTCGCCTGTTCGTTCGTGACCGTAGAACAAACCTTTCATTCTTGGTCGATACCGGCTCTGACGTGTCCTTACTTCCAGCAAATAATTCTCAAAAACGGAATTCGTCCCAACAAACACTTTTCGCTGCTAATTCTTCTACTATTCATGTTTATGGTCAAAAAACACTTTCTTTGGATTTCAAATTAAGACGACAGTTTACATGGACTTTTCTTATAGCAAATGTTAGTACACCCATTCTTGGAGCAGATTTTCTCCATTTCTTTGAATTGGTGCCTGATCTCAGAAACAAATGTCTCAAAGATTTAAAAAACGCATTTTAAAAACCGTCGGTTGCGTGAAAAATGCAAGCATTTATTCAGTAAAAACTGTATTTAGTGATACACCATATCACAAAATTTTAAAAGAATTTCCTTCAGTTACTAGATTACCAGATCCTAACCAACCTGTGTTAAACATAACACCGTTCATTATATCATAACTAAAGGTCCACCTGTGGTTGCAAAACCTCGTCGGTTAGCTCCAGATCGCTTAAAAATAGCAAAAACAAGAATTTCAAACTATGATGCAATTGGGGCATTTGAGACCTTCGAGCAGCAATTATGCATCCCCACTTCACATGGTTCCAAAAAAGGGAAGTCTGGAATGGAGACCTGTAGGAGATTATCGAGCATTGAACGCTCAAACAATAAAAGACAAATACCCTATTCCATGCTTAGCCGATTTTACTGCTGCATTGCACGGTACTAAAATTTTTAGTCATGTCGACCTGATTAAGGCATACCATCAAATACCAATTAACCCAGCCGACATCCACAAAACCGCCATATGCACACCATTCGGTTTATTCGAAAGTATCCGTATGCAATTCGGCTTATGCAATGCATCCGCGACTTTTCAACGTTTTATAGATGAAGTCACGCGGGATTTAGAAGGTGTTTACGCTTTCGTCGATGACTTGCTCATAGCCTCTAAAGATTCTGAGGAAACATTGCAGGCATTTGAAAGCTTTATTTTCCAAACTTCAGGAATATGGACTTTGCATAAATGTTTCAAAATGCACCTTTGGTCAAACATCTATTGATTTCTTAGGTTTTCACCTTAGTGAAAACGGAATTGAACCTCTTCCTGACAAAGTCAAATGTATTTTAGATTTTCCTCAACCTACCACTCTCACTCAGCTTCGCCGATTTTTAGGCATGTTTAACTTTTACAGATGTTTCATACCTAAAGCAGCACATATTCTTTCTCCTTTAATAAAATTGTTAGAAGGCTATATTAATAAAAAGAAATCTCGTTCTCGTGTTCAGGATTCATCCCCACAATTAAATTGGAACGAGAATGCTGAACAAGCCTTTATTGCTGCCAAAAATGCCATTGCTCAGGCTACCCTTTTGAGACACCCTATTCCCGGAGCCCAGCTAAGCATCTGGGTAGATGCCTCAGACGTCGCAATAGGCGGCACACTTATGCAGTTGTCTCAACAAACATGGGAACCTATAGCATTTTTCTCTATGAAACTCAAGTAAAAGTCAACAGAAATGGTCCGCGTACGATAGGGAATTATTTTCTATTTATTCTGCAATTAAGAAATTCCGACACATGTTAGAGGGCAGAAATTTTATAATTTATACGGATCAAAAACCGTTAATATACGCTTTTAAACAGAACCCTCATAAATGTTCACCTCGACAATTGCGCCATTTAGATTTTATTTCTCAGTACTCTACTGATATTAGGCATGTGCAAGGTTCAAAAAACGTCGTTGAACGTCGAACGTCGTTGCTGACGCTCTTTCAAGAATCGAAATTGATTCCATAACAAAATCTCCATTTTTGGATTTTAAAAAATTTTCGGAAGCTCAACGGCATGATCTGGAGGTACAAGACCTTCTCAAAAACAACACATCATCTTTGAAACTGGAATTTAAACCGTGCCAATATTCTGATGGTAATATTCTTTGTGACATATCAACAGACATTCCTCGTCCATTTGTTCCGAATTCCTTTCGCAGACTCATCTTTAATCATCTGCATAATCTGTCACATCCAGGAATTGCAGCTACTACGAAGCTTATTTGTTCTCGTTATGTATGGCCCGATATGAAACGTCATATCAAAAATTGGGTGAAATCCTGTGAATCTTGCCAAAAATCGAAAATTACTAGGCATACTAAAGCACCACTGGGCACATTCTCTCTTCCTGATGCACGTTTTTCAGAAATCCATATGGATATCGTCGGACCGTTACCTCCATCAGAAGGCAATGTGTACCTTTTGACTCTAATAGATAGATTCTCCAGATGGCCTGAAGCCATTCCCATCCCGGATATGAAAACGGAAACCATTTGCAGAGCCATCTTCAACTGTTGGATATCTCGTTTTGGCTGCCCATCGATCATAACAACAGACCAAGGTTCTCAAATGAGATCCGCACTTTTTGCAGAATTCACACGCGCATTTTGGGTACGAACAGAATCACAACAACAGCCTATCATCCAATGTCCAACGGCATTGTTGAACGATTTCATCGACATTTAAAATCTTCTCTCAAGGCTCACGAGACCAATAACTGGACTGAAACACTACCAGTTGTTATGCTTGGTATTCGGACAGCCGTAAAGGAAGATCTACAGTCATCTTGTGCTGAACTGGTGTACGGCACAACTCTCAAGCTGCCTAGTGATATGATAACGTCATCTAAGATATCTCCGTATGACACACAATTTATCACGAATCTTCGGCATAGAATGCAACAATTGAATCCAATAGCAACATCTGCACATTGCCAAGAAAAATGTTACGTAAGTGCTACCTTAAAGTCGTGTACGCATGTATACTTACGTGTCGATCGAGTAAAGCCCACCTCTGTGCCAACCATATACAGGTCCGCATAAAGTCCTTTCTAGAACGGACAAAACTTTCACAATTGATATTAACGGTCTGAAATCTACTGTGTCTATAGACCTGTGTGAAACCAGCCTATTTGCTTTCGGACTCTAATTTGCCTGAACTGAAAACAAATAAAGACTTAAAGACAGTTCAGCAGAATAAATCTGCAAACGAACTCTCTAAGACACAAACTGTCACCAGATCGGGAAGACATGTTCACTTCCCTAAGAAACTTGCTTCTTACATAACAATTTAAAAACATTTTTTTTAAAATTCATATCTTAACATATTTTCTTGTTATTTCATGTTTATTATATGTGTCAATACCTTGTTATATATTGAATTTGCATTTTGATCTTTTCTAATTTTATATTTTTAATTTTGTAATCATAAAAAAAATACCCGACAGTACGGATACTCTGAGATAATTTCATAACCTATGTCGTTCCTTTGAATAGCCATTAAAGGAACTGGGGGAAAACTCTGTGGTGATGGCGATAAGGAGCGTGCCTTGCGCCCTCCGATAAGTGTGGCAACCCTAGAGGAGAAGTTTCTTACGAGTAGCGAGCGGAGCGAAACAGGCAGGCTGTCGGGCAGTGTGCGCGAAGTTCCTAAATAAAGCTTAATTTTTATTGTGCACTATGTCTTGTTAATATTTATATTAATGCAGTAAGAACATAATCTGTGATATGGAATTCGAGGATTGGTGGTAAAACATAACCGGAAATCTCCATAATTGTACAGTGTGCTTTTTGGGACCATTCAGAACGAGTGAGAAAATATTACATACATTTAATTATGCGGATGTCAAAAGATTCATAATTTTCCAGGTTGACAATTTAAATTCGGTTTTCTCTTTATTAATGTCATGGTTCTCAGTAATCCCACTGTACTAATGAAGTGACAGACTGTTTTATTTACTCTACCTCAGATTGGGCAAGGACATATTCATATTGAAATTCGCAATTCTGTATTTTCTCAAAATCAAAAGCAGTTTGCTCATATGACATTAAAGCTTGTATCTGAAGTATTTTAATTGTTTTTAACAAGTCTTTCAACTGTAAAGTAAGTTGGCTGATATTAGTCTGAATATGCTACTGTGACTTCAGAGTCCAGAAACTGCAGTTGAGACATTAGGGATGTGATTCACATTTGATACTTCATTTTTGTCTAATATCAGTTAGTACTGGTCTTTCCTGTTGCTTAAATAAATTGAAAGCTGGCTTTTTTAAATCAGTTTCTACCTTATAGGTCATGTGTAATGAACATTTCTAAGATTTTTATAATCTTGAAAAATTATTGTTGCATATATCTACTTGATTTTTTTAATTTGTAGCTTGATATCAGAAAGTAACTTCTTAGTTCTTTATAAGAATCGTGTTTGGCATAGCTGGTTAGTTCATATGGAAACTGTACTAAGATGTTTTTTAATTCAGATGTTAGGAATTCAAATGTTTTCTTTAAAATTCTGTGCTTAACTCAAATTTTTCATTAATCTGCCTTTTAACTGTTTCTCTTTAGGTTTACACTTAAATCTGTTCAATTATTTGTAAAAAATCTACATCATTCTGCGAATTTTTTTCTCTCTCTTTAAATAAATAGAAAAAGAAGTAATTTTAAAATCTGTAGAAGAGAAATTGTGTGAGGTACAGTATTTGATATAGTTGTTTATTACAACTAATTCATCTTCATATGTTCCTCATTACATCATTTTGATGAAATAATGAGTAATTGTGAGCAGTTATGTAATAATTTAACAAAAGTTACTCATGGGATAATCAATTCTTTTATGTTTTTTTAGAAATGTTAAGTCAACGAAAGATCATGGAAAACAAGTTATATGGCCACCAGTACCATTTATGCTTCATGATGTATCATCTGCTCTGCATAAAATCCATTCAAGGTATCCATTCAGTTTTTGGTAGAATATAATTTTGGCATATAGAGTTAGAAGTGTTAAAATTAATTATTTTTGATTGCATTATTAAATGCCTAAAAGCAGATTTTTAACATATGTGTTAAACTTGTAATTGTTATTGTTGCATTTTGCACTTATTAATGCTACTGTTGATTCATTTATTTTTTAAATACTTTGATTAAATTCCTAAAATTATGATTTATATACTATTACTGTAATGAGGACTTATCATAAAGGTTCACAAGCAGAGCACACATGACTTTCAGTTTAAGAGAACTGATGCCATCATAGAGGACATTTTAAAGGAAACTGACTCATGTTCATGTTATGTAAAGGGAAAAGCACAGAAATTCCCATGCAACCAACCTGTTTGCAGAGATTTGAATGAAATAAAACTACAAATATTCAGCAGTCTTACTGCTCAGCCTACAGTGGAAACACTCTGTTATCATCATGATAGCCAAGCCTGGGAAAATTCAATAATATACTTAGAGTTATAAAGTCATGAGTCTTCTCAACTCCAAGCTCACTTAACATCTGAAAAAATATGTTCTTAATTCCTTTTAGTTCGGTTTTTGCAAAGGCCACACACCAAATTCGATTTTACTGCTGATACATTCATTTAGAAATCAGCTGTTGCAGCCTGCTTTCTTGACTTCAAGAAAGCTTTCAGCAGAGTATGGCACAAGGGTCTTATTCCCAAATTAGAAATTCATCTCTGTTGAGGTTTATTGAACTTGTACATTCCTACTTCAAAGAAAAGATACCAAGTAAGATGGGGAGGAACTCTTTTTCTAAACATATCATCATTTCAAGCATCCTGTAGGAATCTGTTCTAGCTTCTGCATTGTTTAACATTTTTATCAATGACCTTCCTACTCAGCTGTCATCTCAAGTCTTAAAATATGCAGATGACACAATACTAGAAAGATCAATGCATCCATAATCTTTAGTTATATATGAACATAGCTGCACTCGAATGTAAGCTATGGAAATTGCATTAAAATGCTGAGTTGTTCTCTATGTAAGATACAGAAAGAAGTCGGGATTAATAGAGTCATTGTGTTTGATAATGATATTCTGCTTGTGAAAAACTTACAAGTACTTGGGAGTAATTGACATTCGAATAAACTTCAAAGAGCACATCACTGCTACTTTAAACAAAGCAATTGGAGCTTACATGTCTATTTACAATCTCACGGGAAGAAAATCCAAGCTATATCCCAGAATAACATTAATTTGCACAATACTTTTATGTGGAGTTTCTGCCTGGGCAATTACAGAGAAAACTCTTTGTAAAAAAATTAGAAGTTTTCCAAAATAAAATCATCCAGACTATAGTTAATGCTTTCTAGTATGTGAGAAATTCCTAGATACACTTCAGACTGAAAGTCCGAACTGTTATCGATTAGATTCGCGCTACAGTGCACAACTTCTTCAGTAAAATGAAGAACTCGCAACATGTTGCAATTACACGAATTATTGACTATGATCTCACTATTGAAAATATGGTCAAAGCCTGAGAACTAACTATTCACCATGATGTGTATTGGTAATTTTGTATATATCCTGTATATTTTTCATTCTACTCAAGAATCAGTTTACTCCAGATCACATTTATTCTACATTTCTCATATTATCATGACATACTAAGCAAGATCTTCATGCAGACTTAACTGTGCAGTACAAGAGCACTTCTCTAGAAATGTAAGTTTATCTACTTAATTCTGAGAAATTTAAGTTTCAACTATTAGTCTGTAAATATTTTTGCATTATATCTGAAGATTTAATTTTCATTTAATTATTCTGCATCTAGCTTTTATGGTATTTTTTAATTTTATTTTTATTATTTTTTGGGGGTGAATTAAATCTTCAACTGCCATACAATCGCAATTCACTTTCTATCTGTGGCCCACCAGTGGCCGAGTGGTAAAGTCGCTGAGCATTGGTAGTTCGGTCCGATGTTCGAATCCCACGAGTGGGCTGGCTGCATGGGCGTTTTCTTGGTTTTCCCCATGTGTAACGTGTATACGAGTCAGTTTCCCTTAGAAAGTCCTCCATGAACGCATCCCTCCCCCTTAGGCAGATAGCCTTAGTGTGCTTTGCCGTAATTAAATAAGCCAAGTCTAGTCACTTTCTAGCCAATGGAGAGCAGTACTAGCAATCTCAAGATCGTATCCTGTGCATTATATTCCTTGACTTTGTCACTCATACAACATTCGCTTTTCATTCATTCAATTGACTGGGCAATTGCAGATACTATTTAAATACTGTGAAAGGTCATAGGACAACATTTTGATGGAGTAACAAATACATCATAATGTACTCCAAAAAGCTCCACTTAGACTGTGGTGGGCATCAAACTCTTGAAAGATGCCAATATAAGCATTTGGTTCAGGTGACTGAAAATTCCATAAGCTATACTTGCTTGGCATTATAATTGTCCGTGCATATTAAGGGATTTTCTTTGAAACTCTAAAGTTTCCCAAAATGCCATGAGTAAGTAATAGTTTGTGGATTATAATTCCAAAATTACCCTGTCCTTCTGTGGGGAATTTTATGCCCATAACCATTGGAAAGTTAAATATTTAGCTGTTAAAATGAAGGAAAAGTAACAAAAAGAATTAATATGATGAAAAGAAAAATGCAAATAAATTTCTGTCACCTGTGATATACGTTTTGCAGACTAAAAACTAGTGATAAGAAACAGATAAAGTGTTGATCTAAATCCAGGGATCTGAATTTGCCTGAAAATTTTAATGCAAATTTGAACTATGAATTTTCATAAAATCCAAATCACAGACTGCTAAATTTTTGCGAGATCTTTAGTGTAAATGCTTTAGAATGGAATTCATGCTAATAATCTCAGGCCACAGAATTTTCATGAAATTTCAAGACTTGCTCTGTGATGTACCTCCTTTTCCTTTCTTTTTACATAGTAAAATTTTATGCTAATAACAACTTGTAGAACTTTCCATGAGTCTATCAAGCTAGTAAGTATGGTGACACTGGAGAAAAATTAATTGCATGTAAAAATAAATTCTGTTGAACATTATGAATTGAAGCAATTAAAAATTTTATATTGATATTCAACTTTTGTATTTAGATGGCGTGCATATATGATACTGAGGAAAATTCCACGGGAACAGTGGGCAGAACTTAACTTAAAAGTGACGGCTGCTGAAGTGCTGAAAGGAAGACGTCAAGATTGGGGATTTCATAGGAAGTGGGAAGGAAATTATTTAGCTTCTGTAAGTAAGCTGTATAATATTCCCATTAGATCATTCTTTTTACTTCAGTGTTTGAATAGTGTTTCCATAAATGACATTATTAAAATATATATGTAATATGTCTATTCCATTATTGTAATAAGATGACTTGTTAGGTGATAAGTTGCAACGGATTGGGGGTGGTTCTCAGCATTGTAATTGCAAAATTAGAGCGATGGATGCATAAACCAAAATATAAATAATACATACAATTAATAAATAAAATGAGTTTAAAAATGTGTGCACATTTCTATGTATAAATTCTAGCAGAGTTAGCTTCTGTTTTAACTCGGAAATAACATTCTATATCCTCATTTCTATACTCTTGCCCTCTTTTTTTTTTCTGGCTGGTTTTTCTCTGTTTCACCTTCAATATGATTTTGTTCTTTCTGAATTTCTTTAATTATTGAAATCATTCCTATGTAGTCCAATCATGTTTCCCATTGCCACTTCTATGCTGTGGTGATAGATCATGTTCTATGAAAAGAAAATCTGAGTTTTCAAACATAGACCAAACTTCACATGGAAACAATGACATCTATTTTTGAGTTTGTGTATTTCTTTGATTGTTTCTCCATATTTTCTCATGCATAAAGTTTTCCTCTGGCTACTTGAAGTGTACTTGAATTTGAGTGGTTGAAAATCACTCCAGATGCAGATGGCAGTTGACAAAAATATGGTATGTTTTAACTAATCATGATTGACTACTCAAACAATATGCTAACTAGACAGTTGCTGAAGATCCTAACATTCTGAGGGTTTTGAGGAGATCCATTTAAATACCGATATGAAAGATTTATTAATTTTTATAACATTTGTCTTTGTATGGCTGAGGGAACATGAATGGCAAATAGTGAGTGCTGGAATGCTGTTTGACATATTGAAGCTGGAACAGTTAATCAGATTTTCTTTGGCATTGATCATTTGCTAATTTTTTAATATGAAAACAATTCCAAACAGGTCACAGTTATTTAGCCTTCTCAGTCGTATGGACAGAATATTTAGTATAGAAGGCAGGCTTCCTTATCCATTACACATGAAAATTTCTGCCAGCCTTTAATGTATCTGATTTTGGTATGGATGTATATTGGAAGAAAGGATTTAAGGTACAAAGTGAAAGAGTCATTTTTTAATTAAAATCAAGAAAATAGCACTTATTCATGACATTTTGAGGAACTTTGAAATTTCAGGTCTAAACCTGTAATGCTCAGAGGATTAGAGACCTATAGTCAGTCAACCAAGTGTTGCCACTATTTCTGAAGATTGGTAAATTATTATAGCTGATAAGCGTAATCAGTAAGTTACCTCCACGACTGTTACATCCATGATGTCACTTAGTAAGATAAGATATGCCAGTATTGTGCACTGAAAGCTTCCTCAGAAGGGATTGTAGGCCTAAGTATGAAGTTTTTGCATTCCACTAATTGCCCAATCCAGAGGGGTAAGGTTAAAGTGGTGTCGTAATTTCTCAATTCGATTGTACAATGTCCTCTTCACGGATGAATCCAGATTTCAGAATGGAGAATCAGATGGTAAGCACATAAAGGTCTGGAGAGAATGAGACACATGGAATCAGCTCCAGAACTTTATATTCAGAGGTGACAACAATATTGTTATGGGCTAGAAATTCAGTGGGATATCGCACCCAGCTGCACATCATTAAAGATAGTTCTGTGGTGGCTATGCGATATTAGGATTAAGTCCTACACCCCATTGTGAGACTTCCCATCTCAAAAGCTTTACTAAAATGAAAACAGATTTTCAATTATTAGCAGAAGTATTATAACAATAACACATACTAATTCTTATTCAGTTCAAAATATTGTATAGAGAGAGGTATAGTAGCGTAAATTACTTTGCAAAAGAGCATCTTGAAAGTTGTGATGCTCAGGTTTACTGTTTTTTTGTACTAAAGTATATAGTGTCTTGTAAAAGTGCTCGCCAGATAAATAACCTCCAAGAAAAGCGGATTAGAAAGTGGCTGGCCCTGACATAGTTTTTATTTTACGCCATCTTTTAAATGACCTTGAAAGGTACATTGGTAGCTAAAGGCATTAATAGATTCCCTTGAATTACTCAGTTTTTCTCACTGGGGTGTCATTTATTCCAATTTCTATGCTTATGAGTTAAATAAATTTGTACTGTTCATGCAATATTATTAAAGGAGTATTAAATATTATAAATACTACATGATAATTTGTCAGTTTCACTCGCATGCAATATTATTAAAGGAGTATTAGATATTATAAATAACTACATGATAATTTGTAGTCAGTTTCACTCATTTTTAAAGTTTGATTGTTTCATACAATTATAAATGCTATTAATATTTTCACCTTGTATGAATTAGTTATATGTTTGTATGATTAATGCTAGTTGTTTCTCTGCATTGTTGTGTTCATAAATATGGCTCAGTGACTTTTTTTAAATAAATTTTTAAGACTTCTGAGAACGAGAATACTGCAGCATTTGTTTCATCTATTGGGAATTTAAGATTCAAAGATCATTTCCAACGAGTGCTCTTCTCTAGTTACATAAAAAAAGTGAGTTGTATTTTTTTTTTAACTGCAAATAAAATTTTTATGGTTGACTTTTTCTTTTGATGTTTTGTGTTTCAGGCAAATTAGCATCTAAACATAATAAAGTAAAATAATTTCTTACATAAATATTTGTATGTGATATTATTTTCTTAATCAGTAATTCCTCTCACTTGAATTCAGATGAAAGTAAATATCATATTTTAATTATATTTGTTTTTCAATTATTTTAGTTTTCTCATGTAAAGAGAGGTTCTTGTGTTTCATAAAAAGTCTTTCCTGACTAATTAAAAATACAAATGAATATTAGTCTTTTTTCTAATAGGTATGCCTATGAACTACATTTTGCAACAAATTGACAAATTATTCTACTTTTTTAGGTTAACAAGCATAATAAATGTGCAGAAAGAGCAATTGTTGTTACAGATCGATTTATTTACAAGCTTGATAGCAAAAGGTTTAAGCCTCTTCGGTCAGCAATTCCAATAACAGATGTATGTTTAAAATTATCTTTTAATTTTTTAAGTTTGAGATGTTTAATCTACATTTTAAACACTGAACTAAACTTTCATTACCTGTGTATATTTTATAGCCACAATTTAGAGATAAATTGTTTGAAATCTGAAATATTTTTCACTATCATATATCTGTTGATTTTATTTTAATATTGATAAATTTTTATTAACATCTTTTGTTTTCCAAAATAGTTAACAGGTGTTAGTGTGACTCCTGGTCCAGATCAAATGATCATACTTCATCTGCGCGGAGGCAATGATTTAGTTACTGCCTTAACATCTCATCATGAAGAAGATAGAGTAGGAGAGCTTGTAGGAATTATTGTTCATCAGTGGCATAGGTAAATGTAATTTCTAATTCCCTATCTAACAAAAGTATCTATATTTGTTGTATTAGAATATCCGCCATTTAGCTTAGAACTTAGCTTTTCGTGGCCTAAATGTTGTGTGCCCTAATCAGGGCATGCTGTGGTGAAGCAATCTCTCTTCTCCGCTGTATGTATACGTGTACATGTATATGCTATGCTTTTTTTTTCTCTCCTGTGTGTATGTTGTGGGTCTCCATTTATCTAATCAAAATGTTGATTAATGTTATAAATCTGTCTAGGCCCATTTTTTCTTCAATGTTTATAGGCCCAGGAATGTTTCAGCTGTGTCAGAGTAGCAAAATATTTTTTTTTTAAAGAAAAGGTCTTTTTCGAGTGTTGACCTTTGAACTTGTAAGCATAATTCAGTGCAGGAACTGTTAAGCCTAATCGAAGGTAAAAACTGATCAGGGTTCTGTTAAGCCGTTACTTTAAATCGTTCAATCTTGTTTTGACTGTGAGAGACTGTATTATATTATGTCGAATTTGACTACCATAAAAATGCTTGAAAAAGAGTTTTTACAGCTGGAAGCTATATTGATTAAAAATGACCACTGGGATTATGTGATTGGTAAAAAAAACTGAAACCTGCAGAAGGAACCAAAGATGAAAAGCAGCAGCTCCAAGCTGATTAGAAAGCACAGGCAGACATACTTCTTGCCATTATTAGTGGACTGTGTTAAATAAAGACCTGCAAAGAAAGACTCTGTTAAGACAACTTTTGGTTAGAAAAATGGTTGAAAGTGAAACAATGTCTAAACATTTGAAGTGTTTCTTTTAAGTTTGAAAAAGTGGAAATTGATATAGCTGATGATTTATTATTGATTCTTCTGCTTTGTAGTCTTCCAGAAAACTTTGAAAATTTTAAATGTGTCATCAAATGACGTGATGAATTACCTATCCCCAAATCTTTCAAAATCACAATGCTAGAAGAATGAGAAGAAAGAAAAGGGAAAATGTTTCAAGATTCCAAAATGCATACTATACTCAGAATAAAAGGAGGAGTCAAGAACAAAAGAAAAATGGAGGGAGAATTTAAAAAAAAAAAAAAACATTGCTACTTCAAGTGTAATTACTGTTCAAAAATTGGGAACAAGGCATCAGAATGAAGAATATAGCAAATAGAGAATGTACAGACTCAGGTAAGGGAAATCAGGGCTCTGTGATGGCTACTAGTTATGAAGAACTGACTAGTTTGGCAGTAAACGATGCTTGTCAACAGACTTGGCGCTTTTATGGTGCTTAGATAGTGGCTGTAGCTGCCCAACAGGGATAGTGGTTAACGATGCTGACTGCCATGCTGAAGGGCCCAGTTTTGAATACCAGAGAAGGCATGGATGTTTGTAAATGTTATAGTGTCTGTGCGGAATGAAAGCACTCTAAATATGTGTCGGGACGAAAGTCCTCTCGAGAGGCTGGTGGTAGGGAAAGAGAGGTGGGAGTCTCTCGGACCCCCTACCCCCGGTGTGCTCTCCATCAAAATCAGAACTGAGCAAAACCGTACTGTCTCCTGTATGATGCTGAAAGCTCTTGGCAATGACAGGCATAATCTTGTGCACTCCTTGTCACAGTGAATCTCATGTGCTTGTTCTGATGTTACTGTCAAACAAGTGAGATAAGTCACAACAACAACAGATAGTGGCTGTACATCTCATATAGATATGCAGTGACAGTAGGTCATTTTCAGAATTTAATCCTCAAATGAATTTCATGATAAAGTTAACAACTGACAAAACAGCAAAAATTACAGGAATCGGAACTGTTCTCATAAAACAACTTAACAGGAATGGGACAACTATGCTCCATTCTCATTAGGTGCTGTTGTGGACTTACTCAGAAATATGCTATGTGTTCTGGAATTAAAATGTAATTTGCTGTCAACATCTAAAGCTACCGCAAATAATCCTTCAGTGCTTTTTACAGAACAGTATGCTGAAATAATAGAACCAAATGGATCTATACTAGTGCAGTCTGTTCGTAGTTCATAATGATGATCTTTATATTCAAGCACCAAAAGGCTTGCAATAGCACAGGTAAGTGATTTTGTAAAGTGGCATTATAATTAGGTCATTTGAATGAGTCTGATTTGAAAAGACTCAAATCTGATGACATGGTTAGACATTTGAATTTTAATGAAAATGAATCTCTTAAAAGACTGCAAAGTCTGTAAAGGAAGCACAGTAATGAAATAAATACTGAGTTTGAATCGCTCAGATTTCTGTGGACCTATGAGAGTGCCATCTCATGCTGACTTGTGTTATTTTGCCATCTTCGTAGATGATAAATCATGTTGTATTGAAGTTAGTTTTCTTAAAACAAAAGATTAAGAAAAAAGATGCATTCATTAAATACAAAGCTGTGGTTAAAAATCATCTAAGAAAAATAAAAGTCCATACTGATAATAGTCTTGAATATTGCAGAGAAAAATTGTATAAATATCTTCAAGAATGCAGGATTATAGGAGAATTATTGGCATCCATAACTCCCCAACAGATTTGAGAGCTGAGCACATGAATTATGCTTTAACTGAAATGTCCAGATGTTTGTTATTACAAAATAATCTTCTCCCAATCCTTTTGGGCTGAAGCCTTGTATTGTACTGTTTATATATGTAATCATTGTCCAACTTAAAGCCGGTGAGTTAACAAGACATCATATAATTTACTTTTTGGCATCAAGCTAATTGTATCTTACTTCAAAGTATTCATACAATAAATGTTTCGTACTTAATGAAAGGTCTAAAGAAAAATTTGATTCTCGATCAGAACATATTTTTATAGGATCCTCAAATAAATCAAAAGCATACAGATTGTAGAATAAAAATTCCAGAAAAATCGTTATAAACTGAGAGGTTAAATTTATTGATGAATTTGAAAACTGCACTAACTATGTTAAAGGATTTAGAAGTTTTATTTCTTGAAAATATTCCTGACAAAAAGAAGGAAGAACCTTTGAATGTAGAGCAAATATCGGCTGATAAAATAACAGACCACCCTTCAAATATACTTAACACATGGCAGGGGCATCTGCTGAGTCATCTGATAATGATGACTCTAAATCTGAAGACATACCTGAAATGCAGATTAAAAAGGGGCTGTGTTGGCCAAAGAAAAATCAAAATCCCCCCAAAAAGAGTACTGCAATATAAACACAAAAAGATCGGAATGACTGTAAACAATTAATGTTTACATTTTTGGATTATGATATAATATCTGCTATTTAATGTGCTGTTTGTCTTCTCCTGATGCATACATAGTTCACCGTTATCGAGGCGTGCCTTGATGATGCAATCTCTCTCCTCTGCTGTATGTATATGCTATGCTTTCTCTCCTATGCATAGGCTGCCAGTTTCCCTCTATTTAATTAAAATGTTGAGTAATCTGTCTAGGCCCATTTTTTCTTCATTGTGTCTTCTAAATTATAACATATTTCTCCATGCAACAGCAAAATTATTTCTTGTCAAAGAAACTTAAATTTCTGGATTGCAAAAAGTTTAAAATTCATTATTTCTCTCAAATTATAATGTAAATGTATGCTGTGAGTTGTAAAATGGAAGTTTTGATAATTCTGATATCAGCTGTAGTGAAATAGCAGTGTTATTATAAAACAAATGTTTGTAGTAGAAAGTACTGTGGTAAAAAAATATTTAGGAGCTATTAAAAAAAATCTTGTATCTTTCTTAAATACTCATTCTTGATGAATATCTGAATATTTCCAATGACAGGGGCTAAGATTATTTATTGTATATATAGCATTAAAAAATCAGTTGGATGTAATAATAATTCTTTTCTTTACTTCTTAATATAACATGTTAAATATGGCAAGAGCATTTTGAATATTTGGTATACTGTTTTTAGTACAGTACAATGCCTGAGATTCCCAAAGAGTCGGGACTTCGGCAGTTTCAGACGTTGGACAATTTTAAGAAAGAAAAAAGAAAAAAAAGAAAGAAAAAATTTGCTTAAACAACTTATGTTAAAGGACTTTGGCAGTTTCAGACTTTGGACAATTTTAAGAAAGAAAAAAAATTGCTTTAACAACTTATGTTAAAAAAATATTTAGTAAAACAAAATAAACACTAACACTGTGCTTTTTGTGATTTTGATATCCTTAAAACCATAAAAATGCTTCATTATTTCTAGAGATGAGCGAAACTGCTCCTTTAAGGGATGATGAGAACCGTTCTCTCACTGAACTAACTGAATCAGTTCTTTTTAACAATTCACCATGCACTAACAATGACCTTAATGTGCTTGGAACAGGCGATGTAGCGGCGCGCAATGAACTGGAAGTTGATCTGTCAGCACTATCGTTATCTTCAGGGCAGATGTTTTATTTTATTCGGCTTATAATTCCTTACTAAATGTAGTATTTAATCTCGATGTACTCCGTCTTTGATATGATTTAAATCAAATTCCTCGTCATTATAAATATCACGAATACAAATCAAATAGTTTTCTGGTTGCAATTTTCTAATTTCGGCTATGCGTAAGGTACGCATGCTCGCGTTGAAAGAAATGTTTAATAAAGTAAACAAATAAATATTAAGCTTCTTTTTTGTAAATTTTGATACCCTTTAGATCATAATTGCTCATTATTTTATAAATTATGGTTTCATATTTTTAATTTTATAATTTCTGCATGCCATCTTACCAGATTTAAACTGATGATCTATAATCCAGAAAAATCAATAATCCGAAATCGAAGTCCCGACGAGTCGGGATTAAAGACTTTTGACTGTATTAGGATACATAGAAAATGAAAAGCATACAAATATTAAACAATAATCGCTAGTGTTGATCAAACTGAATAATTCGTTATTGAATGTTTCACACAAAGAGAATGTCAAGCTTGCTTATACTGGATGTTTGAAAAAGCCCCTAGCTTACATAGTTTTAGAATACATAATTATGAAATGCTGCATATAATAGATGTTAACTTAAATAAAAACAGAAAATTTTAAGAAGAGAGAGAGAGGCAGAAAGACTCATTTCAAATCATTAATGATGAAAATATAGGTATATATATATATGACATGACGATGTTCTGCTGAATGTTCTTTATGTTCTGCTGAAGAGCAGTCCCCTTCTTTTTAATATTCAGAAAGAATTTTGCTATTTGAATTAATGTTAATCATAGTTAAATTCAGAGTGGAAGAATAATACACCAATTTTCAAAAAGCAAAATTAGGCAGAAAAAATAACCTTATTCAGGCAAAGAATTTTTTGTTTCTGAAAGTAGGTATGTGTGTCTGATTCAGCTTAAAATTGATAGTTTTATTCAAAATCTTTGCCAAATAGAGATTTCTTTTTTGCATAATTTTAAACCAATCATAGTTGTTGGGATAATTCAATCCTGTCCATCACTATCATTACTATACAGTTCATGCTTTGTAATCTTCAATGTTTGCAGTATTATTATATTACTTAAATTGTTGTCTGTTTTATAGCTTACAAGGGAAAGACTTAAGAGTAATTGTGAATCCACAGTTGCAGTGCATGTTGGGAAACAAAAGCAGAACGCTTGCAGTTGAATCTACTAATATAACAATTCATCCAGCTTTTAAAAAGGACGGTCAAAATCTGGTTTTGCTATGGCCAACTTGTAGTGCATAATCTTCCTTAATTGTGTATTTGTTATTCACTGTTCATTATATATTAAAATTTTTATGAACTTTCACATTTTCACAAGAATATTTTTCTGAAGAAAAGAAAAAAGTAGTATTTTTTACTTTCATGTCGGATAGTGTGTGCTGTAACACATACTATGATTGATTGGATTAACTAAATATTAATGATAATTCTTCAACATTCTCAACAACAAACTTTCAACATTCTTCAACATTTACTGTATATATGCCAGTTGGTTTTTGTTTTCATTTCTTGAAAGTCTGTCTTGTGTTTCAAATGTGTGCCTTCTAAGGGTCCAAAAGTTATTTGTATATCAAGTGATACATGAGATTTTCATATTTAAAACTTAATTCAGATTTGCCTTCAAGATTTTGTATGTTTGTAGTAAAGTTAAAATAATCTGAAATAGATAACACAAGAAGAAAAATTTTATTTTTATGTAATTGGATTTTAAAGTGTGATTATTCATAATTTCGTCCTTTAATTGTTGCAATACTTTTCTTCCAATTATGTAAACTGTACTTTTGGTTAAATTTCTAATTTGCTTATATGTACATTTAAATTTGTATATTTTGTTTTCAATGTTTGTGCCAAAACAAGTTTTCAAATCTTTCATGTTTGAAAAATTGGATTTCTTTCTAATAGCTTATGCTATGAAATAAATTTGTAAATGTCAAAAGTTTCACTTTTTATCCATTTATTATGCATTTTCATGCAGTAATAATAACTTTTATATTATTTATTAAAATGTTTGTATTTAAAAACTATTCTTTTTATAATATAATAATAAGGAATGCCAGTCTTCTTTTAATACTATAAAAAATTAAAACAAATTTTTCTGAGAAATTAATGACTGCATTAAATACTTTAACATTTCAAGTATGTGCATAAAATCTGACACAGCTTTTTTATAATTCATGGTAGTTATCAATAGAATATTCATTGTATCATTTTGGAAAAGTAGAATTTATACATATCTAATTGAGTATTACACTGAAATCATTAATTCCTTTTTATATTATTCCATATTTATATTAATCTAATTTAATAGATACACAACAGGAGATTCATCATGTCATTTTCACAAACTAGGATTTATGTACCTGTATTGAGTATTACCCTAAAATCATTATTTCCTATTAATATTAACCTAATTTAAATGTAAATTAGATCAGTATTATAAGGCATTATCTAGTTTTATAGAACTATTGTGGTTATCTAGTTTTATAGAACTATATTATACTATTTATCTATTAGATTTATAGAACTATTGTGGACAGAATCATTATATGCAGTTGAATTTATTAAAAATATTTGAGATAACCAAAGCCTGAATTAAAAATAGAAATTCCTTTCTGTATCATGAAACAAATCCTTAAATTACCTATTTGAAATCCTGTGTTACACAGAATTAGTTATGTAATAATGTTGTTCACATAATAATATGTTAATAATCACATAATATGTTCATTAATAGCATTTTTATTTAGAAATAACTATAGATCACATGCTTGTATTTTTCACACGTTTAACAGCTTTCGCTTTAGTAGATGTTTCACATGCTAATAGATTATAATTTTTGCTAAATGCATTCAAAAACAAACATAATGTTTTCTCAAACACTTCAGATGTATGTAAAATACTTAATTTGTCTATCACAATAATGATAAGCAATGAGAGAAATCTTATTTTCATTAGATTATGTTGTTACGTATTATATCATTAAAAGCTTCAGTCACATTTTGATGATTCTAATTTATTGAGAATTCGTTTCAATCAGATATGAAACTTTAAAAAATTTTTTCTTAAGTAATAGGTTTTATTATTAAAATGTTACTTTATTCATGTCTTACATTTTCATCACCAGAATCCTTCAATAAAATTATCCTTTAAAGTTGATTAGAATGTATAATAAACTTATTCTTCAAGATCAACCCCATTGAAGACATCTCCCCCATAATTCAGTTATTCTGGAGTTCAAAAGTTTACCAAATTTGGCTTGCTATTATTTTCATTCATGTTAAAAATTAACTAAGTATAAGATTTTGGGATTTAAGATATAGAAAGTTTAATATTTCACCAAGTTTTTGAAAATGACAGAAACTGTTTAAATATTCATATAATTTTTAGTAACAAAATTCGTTGTACATATATGTTTGTAGATATTTTTGACTATGGATATAGCAATCAAATGTTCATAAACTTTTTATTATTGCTTTTGAAACTTAAATATTTATATTATTTAAAGTGTAGTACTTATAAGTTGTATATTTTTTAAGCAAATGAAGTTTTAATGTAGAAATTGTGATATTTTGTTTCAGTAAATTATTTTTCTCTTGTGTATTTATAAATTTCATTTGTAAGAGAAAATTCATTTGATGACTGAATTTTTAGGAACTAGTCATTTTGTTTTCTTTAGGACCAAATAGCTTCATGCTGTTGCAACTGCTATACTTACTTGTATTTTAAGTGTAAAGACTGATTTATTATCTTCCTGTAAAGGTTGAATTCAGTATTTTAAGCTTTGCATATTATAACTCACCAAATTCAATTCTTTTAATATTCAAACATAATTTCTTAAATTTTTATGTATCAGTTTTTACAGCTAAATACTACACAGTAGTTATCTGTAAACTGCATTGGTGTAAAAGTATTTACACTGATGCTACAGTTTTTATGCAATAAATATTTAATCCTGGAAAATAGCACAAAATACTTTAAATTATAAATAATGCTAGTTCTCATATTTAAATTTTACTTGCAGATCTTGTTATTTGAAAATTTAAAAAATAAGGATTTTTACTTGGTAATTGTGATTTGGTTGAATGGAGAAACTGATATTTTAATTACTGTACTTCAATGCTGTAGTAGCACATAATAATACTATACTAGTACATAAAAAAAATGATGTAGCGTTAATAGAAAAAAATATTTGAAGTGCCTTATGTCATCCTGATATTCCGAATTTGTAAGTTATTTCACAAAACAGCTAAAATTGTTTTAACTAAAAATGTATGCTTTAATTTTTAAATATTATTTGTATTTTGATATGGTAGAATATTGAAACAACTCTGCATGGACTTTTCTTTTAATGAAAATCCATATAAAAGAATTTGAACAAATCATCCTTTTGAAATTAATTCAATTCAATTCTTAATTCATATACATAATTAATTTAATTCATTTTTTAAGTTAGTTGGTGAAATATACCTAATATGCACAAAACTGTACCATAAATTCATTGTAAATAATAAACTAAACAATGTATTTTTTGCTTTTAGAAATCTATTGCTTATTGTTTTCAGAAATTTTAATAAAGATAATCAGCCATATTTTGTATTCCTTTATTCATAATAGTATGATCTATTTTAGTGATTCTCAACTGGTGGTACGCAACAGAAAAATAAGTGGTATGCAAAAAAACAAAGTATTTTTAACTATTAAATTCAAAACTTAAATATCCCAGCATCATGTTCAAGTTTCTTCTCTTAACACTTGTAAATTTATGAGATCTGAGCTTTGTTCAAGGTCAATAGCCGTTCATAGACTGTGGCAAAATTAACTGTTTTTATTTTCACAAATATTCATTTAGCCATAGACATGACAAATTTTGTCATAAATGATGTTTTTAAAAGGAGTAATAGAATTGGGTGTTGTATTTAATAGGAAATAAAAATAAGTTCCTATAAAAAGATTGTTTCTCATTAATTCTGTTGGAGTTGATCGATTTATTAGCATGTCTGCACTTTATGTCGTCACCATTTCTGGTCTCGTATTGCTCTATTTTCAATTAAAATCATTTTTTTTATATCGATGTGTCTAACCGCAAGTATTTTGTCTTCTTGTTGCTTTACATTCCTTAATTTTCTATGTGATTTGAGAATATTGTTGTTTGTTTTTGAAGAGTTCGAAATATATTGTGCTTTTAAATATGCTCTATAACAAAAAAATCGACGCACCAAGAAGGAATCATCTGATTGATTTGAAATTTCGTATGCATAAACGTTTTGACGAAATATACAAAATATTGAAATTTGGCGTCCAATGAATGAATAGTGCGATCTCCAGTGCATAGGAACTGCGCATTCAGCGGATGTATATAACGAGCTGTTCTTGAATTGTTGTTAAAAATTTCTGTTGCATTGCGATTTAGGATACCTTTCAACAACTGAAAAAATGCCTCGCCGCAGGATTCGAGCTCATTAAGAGCAACTGTCAGAGTTTGAAAGAGCTCATATCATTGGATTGAAAGAGGTAGGTTGGGCAAGTCGGAGATTCTCTTGTCATGTTAGTTGAAGCGATTAGAATGGATGAACAATGGCAGATTACAGTGTCATGATGGTAGCATTCGACCTAGGGCAACAACAGATCGAGAGGACAGAGTGATTGTCAGATCAGCTGTCACAGTGCCTGATTCATTGCTATCAACCCTCAGACGTGCGATCCATACACAAGTGTCCACCATGACCATTCACGGATGGCTGATAGAGCGAAATCTGCGCTCCTACCGACTGTTACACCCTGCCATTCACGCCTGCATACTGTCGAGCTTGATTACAGGGGTGCTTGGCTTGATCAGGTTGGAGTGATGCTGACTGGGGACGTATAATCTTTAGCAACGAATCCCGATTCCTGTAAGTATAACTGCTTCTAAATTTTGCAATTAAAGCAGTTTAATATTCCTTAATCGGGGTGAGCGCCAAACTTGGCAAGAGTTTTTTGATTTGGTTGTGATTTCCAGTTGTATATTTTCTTGTGGCAAACCTAGACCTTTATTTCGGTAATTGTAAGAGTGTGAATTTAGTGTAGCCAGAAGATTTTTTTAAGAATTTAATTTTGAAGTACTGTTTGTTTCTACAAGTTTTACTGTTTAATATTATGATTATATATATACGTTTAATATTATATGTATATAAATATTTGCAGAAGGTTAAGCTGCTGTTTATGGGAGAATATTGGATTTCAGATGACGTGAAGTTTAGAATATATGAATGTTTTCATTTAATTTTATTAAGTTTTTAAGTTTCTTGCATGTGGCAATCGAAAGATGTAGAATATTTAAAGTTGTGAACAAAAGTTGTTTAGTGTGTTGAATTCCAGGACGTTGTTTTATCATTTAATCAATTTCATTCACTATTCTGTTTGCACATAATAATCGCTGTTCATCACTGTAAACAAAAATTTGCTATTCTGTTTACGTTTAAAACTCGCTTCCCAGTGCTCTGATAAATGTATATATTTATTTACAAGAATTGTTCTTTCTGCTATTTTACGATGAATTACATAGAACTTTGTTTTACTAGTATTTTATCATCTCATTTTACTATTCTGTTTACATAAAATAACGGCGTTTCACTGCTTCAAAACTTAAAAAGTTAACTAGTCTGTTTACGTTTAAAAATCACATCTTAGTGCTTTCATTGGCGACAAAAAAATTCGCCAAATTTTGAAGATCAAAATAGTTTGGCGCCAACTTACCCCGCTTATGGAATATTAGCCAATAAAATGTTTTTCATATTAAATACATAGTTATTTTCGAATCCTTTAAAATACTGGCATCCGTGCAACAGGACTATGGATAATTTAAAACTGGAAAGAACAGAATTACGGCGATATTTCACAACTTCTTTGAAAGAAGTGGAAACTGTTCTAAAATATGGAGCAGTAAGTAAGATTGATTTGATACCTGTATTTAATATTTTTAGTGATAAAGCAGACAGATTATTTCAATTAGATGAAAAAATTAAAGTAACGTGGCTAGAAATGGAAAACTTATATGAAGATGAATTCTCTAAGGATATGGATTTAATGGAAAGCTATCGAAATCAATGGGTTGCTATGAAAACGAAAGTTGTTTTAATGTTCGTAACTATTAAAAGAAAAAGCGATATTTCCAGTGTAGTAAATGAAACTAAGCAAAATTTCCGTCTTCCTAAGTTAGAATTGAAACATTTTGATGGTAATATTAAAAACTGGCTAGGTTTCTGGGAACAACTTCAAAAAATTCATCATGATGATAGCATTGATGCAGATGACAAATTTCAGTATCTTTTACAAGCAACTGAAGAAGGTTCATCGGCCAGAGATTTAGTTGGCAGTTTTCCACCATTTGGCGAAAACTATTATAATGCTATTGAACAGCTGAAATCTCGTTTTGTTAAAGATAAACTATTAATTCAAATTTATGTTCGTGAACTTTTAAATCTAGTTTTAACGCAAGCGAAAAGTGGCGAAAATTTTACTTTGCGGATTCTTTATGATAAATTGTAGGTTCAGCTGCGAGCATTAGAGACTTTAGGGGGAATGTCTGAAAAATATGAACAATGTTATATCCTTTAGTAGAATCAGCTCTGCCAGAAGTTCTTATCAAGGAGTGGGAATGCACACAAGATGTGTTATCATCTTGTGCGCCATGTGATACCCTATCAAGAAGTGGAAACGCACGCAGAAAATAAAGACAAGATGAACATGTTAGGAAACTCATTGGAATTTCTTGGTTTGGATGTCGAAAGTGAAGAGCGGTTAAAATTCGATCAGGATTTGCGAATGATCAAGAATTTGAAAAACTTAAAGCGAAAGAAAAAAATTCCCACTGCAGCCCCCCCCAAAGTCCGGCTATGCTGCCTCAACGTGGCGGGGGGTGTCACTGGGCGGAACGGGCGAAGTACGTCGGGAGCATAGCTCCTGTTAGGGCCACCCTAGCGCGTGAAGGCTGTTCCAACATGCTTAGTTAAAGCATAGCAAGTGAAGAACCCTCAGGGGATTGCCGTCTTCGTGATCGGGTATCACACTCCCGGGGCCCCAGTGACCTTTCCTCCTCTCTTTCCTCTCCTCTTGTCTAGCTCTCTCTCCTATTTTTCTCCCTTGTGGTTTCCTCTACTGGAGGTTGGGGCTCACTGTGAGATGCAGCTACTACTCTTGGTTTCTGTCTCACCATGGTGAGAATACCGCCTATGCGTTTGCCGTGCATGGTGACCCGTAGGGTGGGAAAGGAGGATCCTGGCAGTTGAGGGGCGAGGTACTGTCCCCAACACACTGCTTTGGCCTCTGCTTCTACTTAAAACGGGAGGCACTTAGCTGTCCCCGCTAGTGTCAATCGGCTGGCCACTAGTCCTATTGGTCAGTGGCTAGGGGATAAGCTCTCGGAAGTCTCCGCTTTTGGGAAAGCCGACTGTGGGGGCTTCAGTTTGCGTATAGGCCCGGCTAGCCCTAACACAGGGATCTGTGTTCCCTTGTTGGGCTCCATGGTGGGTGGGGCGGTCGGGCCCGAAACCTTTCTCTCTTTTCAATATGAATACTTTAACTTCTTCTCCTAACCATATGGATACGAAAAATTCTGGAGCTGCTAAAAGAATTTGTACTTCGACCTTAATTAGCACAAACAAATGTCCAAAGTTCTTAGTTATCACTGGTGAGCTAGAAAATCTATCACCATTCTTCATCCATAAGCATATTGTGGCCTCAGTAGGCGAGCCAAAACACATAAAAAAGCTCCGTTCAGGATCTCTGCTCATCGAGACTACATCTGATGCACAATCTTCCTCTCTCCAAAAAATGACCAAAATGGGGGAACATTCTATTACTGTATCCCCACATAAGTCTTTGAACACGTCAAGAGGTGTCATTTCGGAAATAGACTTGATATCAGTCTCTGAGGATGAACTTTCAAAGAACTCGCCGAGCAAAATGAGTCTCGTAGACTAACTGATCTTAGTCCAGAGCTGAAGCCTGTATCAGGTTCAATGTTTCTTCTAACCTTCTTCGGAAACATACAATGACCTGACTAGGAACAGAGAGCTTACTAAAGCTATGTTCACTAATTGTAGTAAGTAGACAGGATACAGACGAAGGGTATACAAGACCCTTTATTTTTCTTTATATACAATGACTTCCGTACTTCGGAATACAATGACCCTCCACTCGGGGTCTAACGTAAAAGGTATAAAAATAAAACTAAACTCTAATTTAACTTTAGAATAAGATTGGCCTTATAATAACAGGAACGTATGTAGCACAGAGACTGTGAACACTACAATACGTTTAATTTATCAAGAGGATTAAAACCTCTGGCCTGGAACAATAGCAACTGCGTAACTTCTAAGGTAAGCGGCCTCTTCGAACTCACTGCTTCCTCTCTCTGCTTGGCAAAAAGCCACTCTTAAATACTGGCGCTCGCCAGACAACTTTGCATAAAACGACGCTTATAATTCTGGCCTAAAGATTTAAAATAAAATAAACGTTAGTAAAACTTAAGATTCTTACAAAGGCAGGTTACCTAAATTGCCCCATCAGACCTTACGTGCCGAACCCACTGCGCTGCTTCAAGTGTCAA